ATAACAAATTTATAGTAAATTCTAAGCTATGGCCAAATGTGGTCGATGAGGCCATGCATTGTACAAAGAAAGTCTTTTTTCATATCATTTGTAACATACATACATACATACATACATACATACATACATACCCCAAATTCTAATCTACCCCCAATGAATAATTAATTACATTATACTACGTTTTAGTTGTAGTGAATGTTCTCATCTTATTATCATTTTTTGAATTTATGTTCCTAACTTTTTCCATTGCGTTTTTATTCTCAATATTTTATTAATTAGTTCGTGTTGTCTCTGATAATAGTTTTTGTCAAAAAAAAAAAAAATCATTACATGGGTGTAAAAAGATTTATTCGTCTCTCGTATTTTTAAATAAGTAAAATAAAACAAGAAATACAGAAAATTTGACAAAATATCTTGCAACGAGTAAAACCAAGATGAGAAGATGGTAAAGAATAATATTTGTCCTTCATTTCATACAAGAATATTTGAATAAAAAGCGTCATTAAAGACAAAATGTGCTAAATAATTGAATGCTAACTGCTAAGAATGAAATTTGATGACTTCCATTATAATTAAAATACGATTCAGGTAACAAAAACTACGTTGCAAATGTAATTCTCATACTCAAATCTTGAAACGCTCAAAGTTTTCCAGATTTGAATTTGATTTATAGCCAAATTTTCAAAAAAGCATATTTTGATGGATTGAAAACTTAAATTTTGACAAGATCAACATATCAGGTGGCTTCTTGACTCGGTAACAATTGATAAAGAGTCTATATACAGTTTGATTATGTATATTTTTATATGATTTTCCATGTTCAATTGTAATGATCATGATCTCTGTAGTTTTAGCAGAGACTTAAACTTAACCAGCTTATAAGTTAATTGACTTGATCATATTCAAATAACTGTTCTTTGAAGCAACGATTTCCTATTTGTTAATTCGATAAACAAAGTTTTGACAGAAGAAAAAATCAATACTGCATGGCTTGTCCATGGAGATTTAATAATTTCAGCTCCATTAAAAAGAATTTTGACTTAATTTTGTGTATACGTATATATAAAAATTATCATCCAAAGTAGAGAAGCGATTTGTAGGAACGATACGATGTCGTAGCAATTCATTTCTGAATCTTGGATGTCATTTACTGAGTCCATAGCAACTGGGAGGGAGGGAGGGAAGGAGACAGAGAAATTCATAGTTCAGAATTCGTCGGGTCAACAAAAATTCTAGTAAATATTTTCAACAAAATCTAAATTCTCTAATATCTATGTTGCATGATATAAACTATAAATATAGGACCAGGTTTTGTACCTTTTACCAAATACCCAAAAAAAAAAAAAGGAAAAATCTGAATTAGGGACAAGAACAAATGGCTTTACAAATGTCATCCATTTCTTGTTCTTCAAAGAAAATTAATGCTGCCATCGATGTCCCTAAACTAAAAATGTTCAGAAAAAGACATGGTTCAATCAACAGAATTGCCATGCAATCACTCGATAACGCAGATTTTTCCATTGTCGATGCCCAAAAAATCCATTGGTGAAGACATATACCAACATAAATATTCGGTTGAGAAGTCTCGATGAGTATCGGAGAGTTAGAAAGCTAGAGAAAATTATGCTTAATTCAGTTGTTGATCATTAAATGAATACACCATTATATACAAGATTTGAGCAGCAAATGAAGGTTCTAGAATTGAGCTACCAGCGAGGACTAACTAACTATCCTAGCTGGCTAACAATATGAGATTTCATTCATGAACATAAGGGAGTGTATACACGGCCTTCTTCTATTTTTTCTGGTAGCTGGTAATTTTAACTCCCCCCTCAAGGTGGAGTGTGATCCAGTACTCCAATCTTGTCTCTCAGTAGCTGGAATCTCGAGTGTGACATTGGTTTAGTCAGCAAGTCTGCCGTTTGGTCTGAAGATGGGATGTAGTGTATTTTCAGCTTATTATTAAGCACCTTATCTCTTACAAAGTGAGCTTCTAATTCTATATGTTTTGTACGAGCATGGTCTACAGGATTAGAAGCTAGTGTACTTGCACTCAAGCTGTCACACCAAATAATTGGAGTTTGCTGCTGTGGTATTCCCAACTCCTCCAATAGGGATTGGATCCATGTTACTTCTGCAGCACAATGAGCCAAGGCTCTGTATTCAGCCTCAATGCTGGACCTAGTGACCACATGCTACTTCTTGGAACACCATGACACCAAGTTATCTCCAATATACACACACAATACCCAGCAGTGGACCGTGTATCATCTAGGCAGGAGGCCCAGTAAGAGTTAGCAAAGACAGTGATACGAAGGCTGTCATTCTTCTGTATAGTTAGTCCATGATTTAAGGTCCCCCTCAGATATCTAAACACCCTCTTAAGTATCTTCTAATGAGAGTCAGAAGGTGATTGAAGAAATTGACTTAGTCTATTCACAGAGTAGGTTAAGTTTGGTCTAGTGTGACCGAGGTATTGAAGACCCCCTATTGCACTTCTGTGTAGAGTAGGATCCTTTATTGCTTGTCTTTCATCTTTAGAAACTGGTTTCCCTATAGCCATAGGTGTTAGGCTAGGCTTCAGGTTTTCATAGCCAAACCTTTTTAGCAATTCCATTGCATATCTAGTTTGCTTTAAATGAAGCCCGGCTGCATCTCTCTGAACTTCAATTCCCAGAAATCTGTTTAGCTTTCCCATATCTTTAAATGCAAAGGTGAAGTTCAATTTATCAATGAACTCTTGTAGTTGCTGATTATCGTTGCATGTTATCACTATATCATCCACATATATCAGGGCAAAGATTATATCAGCTCCTTTTGCCAAGAGAAACAAAGAATTGTTTGCCTTAGACTGCCTGAAATTCCATTCCAATAGGGTGTGCTTCAATTTGTCGTGCCAAGCCCTTGGGGCTTGCCTTAAACCATATAAGGCCTTCAGACTTATGTTTCATTGGGTAAATCCAAGTATATCTGCTATGATCATCAACAAAGATTATGTAGTATCTATGTCCAGTGGTAGAATTTAACGGGGATGGTCCCCAAACATCAGTATGAACAAGATCCAAGGATTCAAAGCATGTAAAAGTGAAGTACATGTTATTTACCAATTTTGAAAGATTCACAAAAAGTAGGAATTTCATTAGATTTAACATCTTTATTACAAGACTTTAAAACCTGACTCATAACATAGTTTGAGAGGTGTCCTAGCCTTCTATGCCAAAGGTCAAGTTCAGACACGAAAACATGTTTAACTGAATAACACTGATCGTCACCAGTTTTTACTGTGAAGCAGTTATGGTTATTTTGGAGGTTGGACTCGATGGTAGTGCTTTCTGATTTGAGGTTAGGTAACTGCAGCTGGTACAATCCATCTTTAAGTACTCCTTGTAGTAGAGTCATCTTCATTTGTAGATCTTTAACAACACAATAATTAGAATAAAACTCCATAAATACATTGTTATCATTAGTGAGCTGAGAAACACTGACTAGATTTCTTTTGATTGAGGGAACATGTAATAGTTTGTTTAAATCAAGTGATTTATTTGTCATGGTACTAATGTTTTCCTCTCCAATATGTGCGATGTGTAGCATATCTCCATTACCAACAAGCAACCTTTCCTTACCTTCATATTTTTTTTAAAAAAATCATGTTACCTTTGTCTGTTGTCACGTGATTACTTGCACCAGAATCCACAAACCATGCTGGATCTTCAAGAGTTCCATGTGTAGCTACATAGGCTGATGGCGATGGGTTAAAAATCTGTTGCCAAGAATTGGCTGGCTTGCTCCCCATATATCTTTCATCATACATGTTGTAACACCAGCCTGCAGAGTGGTTATTTAGCCTACAAATTTGGCATGGACCTTTAGCTTCATCTTGCCTACCAGCTATGGTTCTACCTCACCTCTTGTTCTACCCCTGAGACTTGGTGATCTCCCACTACTAGTTCCTCTATAACCTCTGCTAAATCCTGGACCAGCTCGATGTGCCAATTGGACACTTGATTGGTTAACATTGAGCGATGTAAAGCTGTTCCTCACTTGATTCAGATGTTCAAGGCGACTTTCAAAAGTCATAAGCACTGAGGAAAGCTCATACCAGGACATGTTTTCTCTGCTATTTATCTGGACCACAATGCATGTATATTCTTCATCCAAGCCTGATAGGACTTGTGTAATCAAGTTACTTTAATCAATGATCTTCCCAACTATTTCCAAGTTATCAGCCAATTGTTTGATGGTAGTCAAGTACTGATCCATTGTCAGGGATCATTTCCTGGTTCTTTGTAGTTCTCATGTGAGAAACATAACTCGTGATTTGTTTAGTATGCCAAAACTCTCTTCCACTGCTGTCTAGAGTTTGTTCGAATTGGTGCATCCCATAACCTTCATGGCTATCTCTGGAGTCATGGATGAATACAACCATCCCATGAGGAGTTGATCAGCTGAAATCCACTTAAAAACTCAGGATTTTGAGTTATCTCAACAGCTTCTCCCTGACCAACAATTGTTAGGTAGCCAAGAATTCCGGTGGATACTCCTTTGTCCCCATTAGGTATCCTTCAAGGTTATGCCCCTTGATTATGGGCATTATCATATGTTTCCATAGCAGAAAGTTGTTCCTGTCAAGTTTAACTACATGTGTTTAAGTAATATACGTTTCAAAGGACTGATTCTGGCCAAAAGCTGCTTGAGCAGTGTTGAATTCAGACCGATTGCCAGATCCAGTGTTAGCCATTTTTGGCTCTGATACCAAGTTAGAAAGCTAGAGAAAATGATACTTAATTCAGTTGTTGATCATTAAATGAATACACCATTATGTACAAGATTTGAGCAGCAAATGAAGGTTCTAGAATTGAGCTACCAGCGGGGACTAACTAACTATCCTAGCTGGCTAACAATATGAGATTCCATTCCTGAAAATAAGGGAGTGTAGTACACGGCCTTCTTCTGTTTTTTCTAGTAACTGGTAATTTTAACTCGGAGAAAATCAGAAATGGATGCAAACCATCGAAAAATGTGGAAAGGATAATGATATTGCCATTGCCAAGCTTCATGCAATATTAGAGGTGGTGTCAGATCGAGTGGAGATGCATACGAATATGGGTGAGTAGCGTGATAACTGGAACTCACTTCCCTTGAACTCTATTAACATAATCACTCTCACGGGCACAACTATAGCCGGACTCGGCACGATCAGTGGGGTGGCGATGCCAGTTTTCGCGTTGTCGTCATGTCTGCTGTTTTATGCAGCCACATGGATGTTGATGGTAATGAACAAGCTTCAACCATTACAACTTGTCGAAGAATAGCGCAATGCTTCAAGATTGTTTAAGCAAACACACAAAGAAATTGAGACTCTACTGGCTTTCGATCATCACCATCTAAATCAAACATATGTGAATAATATGATGGAAAGAGTTTTAGCTCTTGATAAAGCATATCCACTTCCTTTGATAGGAGTTATGCTTGAAAAGTTTCCATCTAAATTGAAGCCTAAAGTGTGGTGGCCACCTCTAAATGATCAATTCCAAAGAAAGAGAAGATTACAAGATTAAGAAAGAGACTGTAATGGATGGACTGGTGAAATCGAAAATGAAATGAGAGAAATTGTTGAAGTTTTGAAGAGAAAAGATAAAGAAGATTAGGCAACATAGCCCTGAAGTTGAACAAAATTTTCGCTATTATGGGGCCTATACTTACTGGCATGGCCACTATAGGATCTTCTTTTGTGGGTTCCTCTTCTTTGGCTATTTATATTGCAGTCGAGCCGGGGCATTGGCTACCATTGTGAATTCTCTTGAGCATGGTGGACAAATAAGGATGGTTTTTGAAATGTACTGAAACTCAGCAGGTTTCTATCAGCTTTTGGAGGAATCAATTGAATCCACTCTTGAAGGAGGAGAATTGGAGAGAAGAGTAAACGGGGAGATATATGAAACGAAGGTGGCTTTACGATTGGGAAGAAGCTTAAAGCAGCTCAAAGAACTAGCCATGGCATCAACTTCTTCGCTGAAAAATGGAGAGACCATTCAAGAATTTGCAAGCAAGCTCTTCTGAGTATTGAAATTGGAAATGTTCTTCATTAATCACTATTTATTCCTTAGTTATTTCATTCCATTGTCTTAATTCAAAGAGTTAGTGTTTGTATGCAAGAAGATGGATTTTCAAAACCCCAATATCATCATGTTGTATTCTGTTGTTTAAGGTCTTCAGTATGTAAAACAATAATGGATTCGAAAGCCAATAGAGTCTTAATTTATGTATAGACAAATTATGTATTGGCAGTTGCGACTTGAAGTAGGGGGTGGAATAAACGACAGTTTATCTGATGCGGGGTACTTTACCATAACTAATGCTTGCACATAGATTGCTTGATATATATAGATTCATAACGTAAAGATTACATTTTTCATTATATCGTGGCCCCGTGCTTTACAGAATTCCAAGTATTGGAACCAGAGTTGAATATTACTTTTGAATCGGCTCGTGGTGAGTCTGTAAATTTCCATAATCCTAGAAACCCCAGTGTAATCGGAGATGGATTCTTTTCGATTTTTTGTTAACAGAATTCTTTGAAAGGGCTAGGAGGCGGAGGGCATCGAGTTGTTTCTCATAGTCAATATAGGCTAAGAAATCCTTCTTCGGTGGGTTTGGCCGCTTGAGCCTATACTCAAACTTGCGAAGCTGCTTGACTATCTCTGCTATCTCATGGCGGCTAAACAAGTCGCGTCGCTCAAAGTCGTCAGCTCGTTGAGCATGCGCTCCAGTTTGAACTTAACCACATCCACCATTGTCAGATATAGGTGTGTCGGGAAGTGTTGTGACCATGTGCACGAAAGAGAGAGAGAGAGAGGGGGGTTTTGCGTGAGGAAGTGGAGGAAGAAAAAGGTTATAGGTAGTGGGCTTAGGAAGAAGCTAATATAGGGTTTGAATAAAAATCTAGTCTGAGAAATTTTTAGTTGGCCATTACGTTTATGCTTCAAAATTGGGCCTAGGTACAGATATAGAGGGTTGGCCAACCCAACTCACTAATCGAATCGACTATTCGAGTTGGGTAAAATTCATTTACAATTGTTCCCTAACATATAAATATGACTCTTCAAAATTTTATCCCACTATCAAGTTAACATTATTAAAAGTAGCTCAGACTCTTATATGTTGTCTATATTTTGATTATTAACATATGTAGGATTTATTCATTAATATACCTCATGATATAGTTACGAGTGTCTATTTAGCACTCTTTTAGGAAATAGCACCTCCAACAAGTAGGGAGATATAGCCTGAAGTGGATCTCCTACTATCTGGGCATCCCACGAAATCGAAATCAGAATAACCGATGATCTCCAACTAATCCTATCTCCTGTATGTGAGCATGTAGTCATTTGATCTCTGTAAATACCGCATGACCCGTTTGGCTGCTTTCCAATTATCCATTCCCGGGTTACTTA